ATGGGGGCCTGAGGGGGGATATGAGGGCCTGAGGGGGGATATGGAGGCCTGAGCGGGGATATGGGGGCCTGAGGGTGCGGTGTGTGCCGGCTAGCAACTTTCGGAGTCTCAGAGTAATTTAGGTTGGAAAAGGTATTCGAGATCACCCAGTCCAATTTACGACCCAGCGCTGCTGTGTCAGCCAGGCCATGACGCCGGGTGCTGTGTGCAGCTTTTCCTTGAGCATGGCCAGGGCCGGTGACTCCGCCGCCTTCTTGGACAGCCCATTCCAATGTTTAGCCATTCTTTCAGTGTAACAATTACTCCTAATGTCCGGCTTAAATGTCAATTGATGCAGTAGAAGGCCATCATATCTTCCCATCATATCTCTTATTCCCTGGGAGCAGAGCCTGACACCAGATTGGCTCCAAAGTCCTGCCAGGGAGTTGTAGAGAGCAATAAGGTTCCCCTTTGAATCTCTTTTTCTCCAGAATAAACACCCCCAGCTCCCTCAGCTGCTCCTCATCAGACTTGAGCTTCTTTCAGAAGAAGGACATGCATCAAGTTGTACAGCAATCCTTGCTGCCATAAAGGAATATGAAATCTCTTCCAACAGTAAGCCTTGTAGTTAAGCCACAGCAAAATGTTTAAACTGGGACAGAATGATGAGGGTCATAATCTTCAAGAATTGAAAAATCCTTCCAAAGTTCCCAATAGTGCCTTGGATTAATGTGGTAAAGAGAACACCACAAAAATGCAAAGTCTGTGCAGAGCAAAGGACTTGTTTATCTGGAAGATTCTGTTGCACCTTCTCCTTTCAGCTTTCACAGGTGAGGCAGACAACACAAGTATTTAGGAGCAGCCTGAATTTGATTCAGCAAGAACATCTTGCACAGAAGGAGCAACAGGAAGGGAGGCACAGGGAAAAGATGAAGGGACAAGACTGACATCACTAGCACTGAAATGTGTTTGAAGGACAGGAGGTTCCCATCTTCCAAATATTTTGTGAGAAGATGTACTTTTGAGTGACAATTTGACAGGTTGAAAAGTGTATCTCAATATGATAATGAGACTTTTGAGAAGGGAGTTGCTGACCCCAAACCACAACACGACCCAGTTGTGGACAAGCAAGAGGGGAATGAGAAAAGGGCAAGTGTTATGAAGATGGATAATTGGGATTATGGCTTTGAGTAGGGATTTCTTGGTTGATCCCAGCTTCTGGGATTGGCTGTGCATGGAAGGAAAAATTAAATGCCTTTCTCATGGACATGAACCAGATCTTCAGATTGCTTTCCTTTTTATGCCGTAGTTTTACATCCTCAGATTCATTTCTAAAATCAATTAATTCCATAAGTAATCATTTTTTCATGAACTACATGTAAATTTCACACTCAGCTTGCTAACTAGATTTTCCTCTCATCTGGGAAATCAATTTTTAGGAGAGTTATTTTATTTACATTGAATAATTGGTTGTATTTGGTACACAGATAGCTGGTAATTAATAACTGTATTGATACTGGATATTCACTGCCATTTGTTCTAATGAGTTGTTAGACCATTAAGCTCCATGATATTTTCTTGATGTGACCAAATTTGAACACACTGAAAAAAATTAAAAGGTGTGTGATACTTTTATGACCTGTAAATTTATATATTTGGTAGGGATGCATTTTCAGAAGGCATATTTAATTTCATTACTTAATCTGTATCCAAACATCGTGCTCCTTATTTAGTATCCACAACCAATTTGTAGCAAGCATGGCACTGGTAGTGCACACAAATGAAGTACTCAAATATCCACATTAATTGCATTTTATAATTACAAATTAAATGTACTTGTCATTTTAAAAGCCACATTTTCATGGTAATCTCCAGTCCTCCCACTAAAAAATTCTGACTTCTCACAGGTTCTTCCATAGGAAAAATGGTGACAAGAGGTCAAAAATGGTGTTGCTGGACTTTCATCAGTCCAGAAGTATTTATATTCACAAAGTCAATGCTTGATGAAACAACAAAAGAGATTATTGGCTACTTATCAGAATTTGTAACATACTGCTGGGTTTTTATGTTGAAATAATATATAAAGTCTTTTTATCTGCAGAAGAAAATACAAGGCAGCACAACCTTGTGACCAATCCTGATGTCCTTACATCAAATTTGTGAGCGTTGCTATTGTGGCCAACACTGGATTCAGTGTCGAATTTTTCTGATGGCAATTTACTGTTCCCCATTGAGCAAATATTCAAATAATCTGATTTATTTCCTTTTGGTCAACTGATCTAATTTCCTTTCTCACTTGAATTCCTGTCCTGGAGACCTGCCAAACAACAACTCTCATGAATGAAACGAGTCATGCCTTTGAGATTCCTGTGGAACATCAAACTGGCACAACACAGTAATTACAGCTTAGCTATTTCTGATGCTGTTATTAAAAATGACTTGAACTTTAGAAAGAAGGACTACTGCAATTAAACTCTACGATTTGTCAAGTTCTAGGCAATTTTCTCTTTATCTCTTCATCTACCTGCTGTTGGATATTTACAGATACTACCAGGAGTCCCAGTTCTGATGGTGTACTTTTTCAGATTTCTTTTTGAAATTCTCTTAATGGGTACCAGTCACAGAGACGGTCAGAGTTGTCAGATCCCAGAAAAGCTGATGGCTGTGTATGTGCCAGGTCCCCACGGCAGGTTCTCACTGTGTAATTCACATTTTCAGGCCAGTTATAGAACATACTGAAGGCCTGTACTAGTTCCTTGGATATAGGTTTGAAAACATGTTTAGCTAATCACAAACACTCCTGTACATGCTTGTTTCCACAAAATATACACAATTTCCTAGTGCAGAAATGAAATCTACTCCAACATAAATTTTGCATTATTATCTGTTTTTTTAGCAGTAAATGAGGACATAAGAAACTTCCTTAAGCAGAAAATATGCCACATTCTATCCTTTTGAAATGGTGTTTTCAAACTGTGTCAAAATGATCAAGAACTGGATTCTTCCTTAAACATAATAGGAAGGCCTTATTGTATTAGCAGATTACAGTCATTGTGTTAGTATACTATCTACCTTGTATTCATTTTTGCTAACATAATGAGAAATTTTTCTAGCATGGTTATAATTTAATGCAATAAAATAGTGTTGGAAAGGAAAATTAGTGTGATTTTAAAGAGAGATGTAAAGACAATAAAGTAGCCTCTGAGTTTTCTTTCCTAAACTTTTAATTTGTTGCTAACCTAAAATACACTTTTTATCAATCCTTTGAAATAATTATAGTCAAATTAACATTAAAAGGTTTACAGATGGTTTTTTCCACATACTCTGCTGTATAAGATCTCAGCAAGTCTGCCCAGATGTTTTTAAATTTTCTTATTTTAGAGAAGTACATAACTCTTTAATCAAGCCCTGAGCTTTAATGTGAATATTTTCGTGGCACCATTTACAATGTCCTTGCTTCTCTGAGGTTTGCATTTTGATGAAAATTCTGACCATAGAATCAGAAAGAAATGTCTGTGGTTTTAAGCATAAGCAACCAATGAACAAGTTGCTTTGTCTACTCTGTAAAAAAGGCATTTCTAAAGCACTAACACACAGTGAGTACTCAGGGAGGAAGTAAGACCTGTTCAAAATATCAGATTGAATCTTGGAAGATCTGTACTCCATTCCCATTCTTGCCACAGACTTCCTGTGAAGAATGAAGGAGGTATTTTCAACTTTAATCTCACGGGTGGAAGAGTTTTCATCACCCTTGTTTGTTGTGAGCATAAACTCGGAAGGTTTTGAGCCCATTTGGACTCCAGGGCATCAACAGACACTGGCCAGGGCTGCACTGATTTTCAGAGGGTCAAGCTAAGGAACAAATAACAATTGCACAAATTAATGTGGCAGTGTAGGTCTGACAAAAATGTCTAAGCACTTCAAGGTGCTGATGATGTGGGTTCTCTAGAGTAAGTTTTTTGTGGAAGGCAGAAGCACAAGCGAGCTGTTGTAGATGTACCCAAAGCAACCTTAACCTGACTCAACTGGATCCCAGCAAGGGTAGGCTGTGTGAAAGTGAGTGAGGCTGTGAAGTTCACTTCTCACTGGCCACAGCATTTACTCATCCCTTTGGGGTTCCTTTGGGGCGTGGGGACTGTTGTGGTTTCTGACCTGACCCCTCTGCTGCTGTATGTGTTGTTTTGAGTGCAGGATATGGTTTATGGAACCTGAAGTCATGTAATTCACTACGATGTGAGGTTTTTCACCTAGTACTGGACAAATTTCATTGATCCAAATATATCAATCCCAAATATCTTTATGCTGGATTGGGATCATGGATGCATTTCTCTGGAACAAAAGAGAAACACCCTTCTGCCATTCACCAAGGTGAGTAGCACCTGACTTTTTTTACACAAAAAGAGTCAGAAAGCAGTTTTCTTAACCTCTCAGAGAGTTTTGCTTCATGAATTAATGGATGTTGTTTGGAAGTACAATAGGGAGTTTTACAGCTCATGTGGCACTCAGATACGGAGCTAGGGCAAGGTACTTAACCTCTCCTTGGTTTAGTTTGTGAAACAAACAACACTATTTTAACTACTTTTCAAGGATATTTGATAAAATTAATTAGTTTGGTATTTGTACTGCAATGAAGGTCTATATAATTGGAAAGTTTTATAAGAATCTCAATCGTTTCATTTTTGGGTTGATTTAACTTTGAATGGCTGGTTTTGTTACTTTGTACTGTATTTGAAGTGTGCTATTGTTTCATTTTTATAAATAACAGCTGATTTTTCAAGCTCCTGTAACGAACCTATTTAGTCTCTGTGTATGCCAATGCCCTCTACTGGTTTGAAGCACAATCGCTCAACAGAGGGTATTGCTGTTCTCCTTTATTGAGAAAACTGTAATATTTAAATTATTTTCCTTTTGAGAGCAGTAGAATTTTGGTTGTGTAGCCAGGCTTTCTGTGAAGTGCAAGAAGCTGCACCATAGGCAAGCTGACACCTGGGTGACTCTTGTGCTACACGTGTGATTCCGTGCCAGTTTTTTCGTTGCCTCCTGTGTTTTTGTTTCAGTGGATTTGCTATAAAGGCTCACAGGTAGCAGTCCTGAGAGGGAAGAAGACACACACCTGAGACTTGCTCAGTATGGAGCTGCTGTGTAGATGTTCCCTCAACACAATGGTCACCGCTCCAAGGAGCCTCCCTGCTCTTCAGCCTGGTCCAGGGCCTGCCAAAAGTGTGGGCTGGTTGTGTTGACAGGCTGTGATATAAACAGCCCTTGAGGCACAGGAGCTGCAGAGATAATGAAGTGCCTTGAGGAAAAAGTCTTAACTATCAAGGGATGGATCCACTCCCCCCTGCCACAAACCAGGGGTCACGTGGCTGAGGAATGTGTATCCACAGATAGTGCTACCTTCAGAGAACTCTACTTACAGGTAAGTAACTCTTCTTTAAAGGAGGTATCTTTGTGTGGCAGACTGTTTATGGGAGCAATTTGAATTGAACTTTAAATGAAAAAGGCATATCTCTGTAAGTGGTAATAATTTTAGTCATCTCGCTGTGGCTAGGGGTTGTGGAATTCATTAGCACAGATTAACATATAAAGTGGGTGAGATATCTAATAGCAAACGTAGAGGTTTAGGGACCTTAATTCATCACTGAATGAACAGCGTGTACAGTATTAGGGACTATGAAATTTTTAATTTACACAAAGTGTCCAAGAATATAGGGAATAAATTTAAACCCAAAACAGATAATGGAGCTGTGCCCTGCCTAGCTGGCAAGTTGAATTGTTTTTACACTGAGTGAAGAAAGCTAATTATCCCAAGCACAAGGAGACTGCTAAAAATAATAAGATTATAAAGAATAATTTGCTGATATAATTACAACAAAATTGGGTACACACAATCGTCAGATACATGTATTGCTTGACCTGGGCGAGAAAGTGAAATAAATCCTTCCTCTATAGCCTTCGTAAATTTGTTTTTATCATCTCCAAGTGGTGTTTGCACAGGCAGCACAATTTGCATGTGTAATGTGGCTGTACAAATTGACAACAAGTAAATTATTCAAGGAAATAGGCTGGTCGTGGGTCTGAACTATCTCGCAAAGCCTATTCATTTTGAAGAATCACTGAGACGTGAAGCTCATACATCAACCATTTTCTGACAATCCTCAGACTTATTGTCTCCTAAAATGTCATTATGGCTATTATTTATGAAGCTAATTCATTTATTAATATATATTTAACTCTGACTTGTCATGCACCTTAGCAGGCATTCTGTGCACTGCATATTTTTGAATAGATGAAAGAGTTTTGCATGCTTTAATGATTACTGTAAGCTGCTATAGATTTATAGAATGCAGCTTTATTATCTACTTGCATTAATACCTTTTTGTAACTTTTTTTTTTCCTTAAGGCCATCAAATATAAATGGCAAATGACATATCCGAAAGATTGTATAAAAAAAGAGATTTTCTCAGAGTTTGTTGAATTTTAGAAAAAAATGAGGTAGCTAACTGTTAAGGCCTAACTCATTTCTAAGAATCTGTAATAATTATGTTGATTTTTTGTGAATTTTGCTGAAAAATATGGAATAAACAATATAAATTTAAATGTTTACTGTATTTTTCTCTTTGAGGTCAAGTGGCCATCTTTTGATTATACCAACAGAGGGAGTAGAGTTTGAAGGGGGGGAAAATGTAGCAGATGGAAAATAGATCTGTTCTGCTATAGTGTATATATATAATATAGATAATTTCCCTCATATAGAACTCTACTTAGGAAATGAACAGCACAGGAGTATGGATTATGAGGTTGCCTATGGTTCTTGGATTTTTTCATCTTGATTCACTTATCTTTAGGGCATATTAAAGGACATAGGGATCATAGTAACCCTTTCCTGACATCTATGCAGTGTCAAGAAACTAAACATTGCAATCTGCTGTAAGAGACATATTTGAGGTACTTCTGAATTTCATTACACACATGGAATTCAGATTAGACTTGTAATTATAACAAACTGGCTAATTTAAATGCATAGTTATTATGACTGTATGGTCAATTTGACTATTTTCAAGGGGCCTATGATCACAGTTGGAGGTTTCTGGCCTGATTTGGAAGTTACGAGCTTCTATCAGCTTGTGATGCTGATATCACCCACAGATTTGATTGGTCATTTGGTCCTTCTCCCTCAATGCTTGTTCCCATCTTTAAGAAGAGGATCACAAGTTTGCCTTGTTTCCTGGTGGCACAAAGGAATAACATGTAGGGGTAAAAGAACTTTCTAGGTAGAGTTTTTCTTTAGTATTAAAATTGGGAATTGCAATATTTTTCACCTGCTCCCAGGATGAGCCAGGTAGTAAAAGGCACGGGATTGTTACACCATGGAATGGACAGTCTATGACCAAGGAGGAATTTCATATTCTGTCATTACCTTCCCATCTTACAGGGCTAGGTTCTTCATGGCCAGAGCTATTTCACCTTCAACAGAAGAACACAGGAAAGTTTTCAATGTCAAGACAAGGAGTCTGTAAAACAAAGGATTACCAATGCTTTAGGTAGCATGAAGGTCTTTTAAAGCTAACTTTGTAGTGGTAAATATTATAGATCTTCATATTGGAAAACTTAATACTTTGAATTCTTCAACTTCTTTAGAGTGTGAATAAGAACACAAAAAGTTATATAGGAGCAAACTCAAGTTACCCAAATAAGGGCACCATGAAAATACAACTCAATGCAGACAAGGGCAAATAAAGTAGTCGTGTTTCTGAGTATGTGTGGTGAATAAATAAGGCTTTTTCATGTCTGGAAGTCAGTAAGAATAATAACTTTCTGTGCTTTGGAAATAGAAGCTTATGTTTTCTAAACTATTCTGGTACTTGCAATTTCAGGTGCTTGCCTTGAGACATCTTAGAAAGTAAACCCAGACTTGCAGAATACTTTTTTTAAACGGAACCTTGTCAGGTGATCTAAATTTGTCCTATGGTAACTCCAAATGGTTTAAGATTGAAAAAAAAAACCCCAAAAAAACCCACATTATTGAGCTTTTGGAGCTTATATATATTTTGCCACTTCAAAAACTTCCATTGTTTGTCTTCCAGTCAGACATCAATCATTCAGTAACCAATGCTTTTATAGTTTCTGATCTTGATGGCCAGTTTCAACTAAGAGAGGAGATTCACAAGCTCTCTGAAGGCTTGCTGAAGGCAGTCAGTTAGAGACTGAAATTAATGCTACCACTGAATCAGTGTGAAAGGTTGATTTCTAGCATATTTTGTGTTTATATTTAATGAGAATATTTAAATAATCCCAAAATGACATGTTAAAGAAGAAAATTCAGTGAGTGTTTCCTTGTTACTTTGCAATGTTAGAGACTTCCCACTTATATTTTTTACAAATAAAAAAAATATAAAAAAAGAAGGGATTGACTGAATTGTTTAAAAAGAGCTTTTATTTTTTTTTATCTGACAAGAGATTAGAGACTTCTGCAAAGACCCAGTATGGCACATCAAACTCTAGTTCATGCCATTGCTGTTTATGGTAGCGGAGCTATTTTTTGCTTGTTGGGAGATCGAAATTCCACCTGCTACATAAGATATTCATTCATCTTTATTCAGTAACCTGTAAAATTCAGAGTGTAGAGAAGGTGCAAATCTGCTTGATAGTTCTGGACAAAATTTTTTCAGCTGTGATTTTCTGAGTGGATCAGCTGTAGAGCCTCAGAATGATGTGCGAAGAAAGTGCCCCATCAGACTGCCTGTGCAGCTCTTGCTGCTGCTCCTGATGACACTAATCCATATTCCACTTCTAAGTTGGCTGCTTCTCAGGGAAATGCTGCTGCTTCAACATCTTTTACTGCTGATCCTGTTTTACATTCCTATGAATTCTCGTATCCTCTTTTATAACCAGGGAAAGTAAACACCATTTATTGTTTCATAAAACACAATTTGTGAATCACACAATCATTGGGCATCCCAGCTGCAATGCTTCGTGCTGGGTTTTTAGTGTATGCTGTGATAGTCCTTGCTGGCTACCAGCATGTCAGGCTGTATGGACAGCCTGAGTGACCAGTTTGAGATTCTTCCAAAGTGTCAGGTCTCTGTAGCTGCAATAATCAACTCATTTTGCTGTCAGCAGTGTGTCAGGAGCATGCTAGCTGATACCCAGGGGACTGCCTGGAGCTGGCTGCTGCTAATCCCTTCAAAGGGGCCATGTCCAAAAAGGAGGTGGAGTGAGCAGCTTCCAGATGCTACAGCTGCAACTAGCCTACCTATCCCTACCCCAAAACTGCTTTCGTTTTAATTATACCAAAAGGTATTTTGGGAAAAAAATTTGAACTCTTATATTAAAGTAAAGCAACAAAGGAAAATATAACCCAGGCTTTTTCATTGTGAATTATCCTTCCTTCTGATGCAGTCACCCAATCAAACATCATTATTCTTTGTGCAGCTAAAGGATGCTAACCATCAAGATACCTTGGGAATGCAATAGGAAGAGCAGGGTTGTAAACCCCAGGGTTTAATCCCGATCAAATTCCAGGTTCAATGATTATATTTTCCCCCTAGACTGATAACCAATTCTTCACTTCAGTTTTAAACATTTACACAGTATTTCCAAGTGCTGACAGCTTCAGAAATAGCAGTTGCATATCAACAGTGGACGTTGACATGCCATATTGTTAATTATATTTGCAAAGCACATTGGGATTCTTTGGGATAGAAGAGTCACTGCAAAAGGTAAGGTAATTGGTGTGTATATTTGGGGGGGATGATAGGGTCCTGAACACACATTGTTAAGTGAGTGCTGTTTAATTTCTTTTAATATCTTAAATGGTCTTTGATTAGAAATAAACATGTCAGGAAGAATTATTTACTTAAATAAAGAAAGGAATTAATGGTTGTAAATCAACACGTATTTTGGAAAATGTTTCTTCTTAAGAAACTTGAGACAGACCATCAGAATTTAGCACATTTAACCATAGATTTACTGTGTCTCATTATTTTTCAAGAGTAATTTTCTAAAAGCTTTAGGTTGGAACATTGTTTAAAAATTGAATGTGATGCTTATAATAAATAGAATCCTATTCTTTTCTCATTAAGCTTTGTCTTGCCTACTTGCAGTTTACTCAGAGCTGGATTCCAAGAGAAAGATGTAGTTTAAGCGATGGAGACATCATCTATACCATCTCTTATCTTTTAACAGCCCATCATTTATGTTGTAAGAACCCAGGATATTTTCCTCATCCTTTTTATTTTTTTTTTTTCTCTTCAAAACTGCATGGTATTGCTCTGCTTCTTCCTTTTCCTTTTTTTTATCCCTGAAAAATACACGCTTTGGTAAGGGCTTACTTAAATTAGTGCTGAGTATTTTAAGTTCTAAATTTAGTGTTCCTACTCTAAATTCTTCATATATTTAGTTTCACCTATTTCAAAGTGTCAGAAAGCCCCTGCACATATTTTCTACATATTGAACTATATATAAACAGCAGAAGTCTATCTGAAGTGGATTTCTGAGTGGTTTGGGGTTCTTTTTAAGGTTTGCACCTTCTTTACTGCCATGGTTTTATTATGGGTAGACACCAGTAAGATTGATTCCTCTAGCTGGTATTTTGGTGTAGGAATCAAATCCAGCCTGGTTTGTGTCAGGCCCTTGATGAAACTCAGAAATTCTAAATCAGTGTTTAGGTTCCCAAATTGAATTCAATGATTTTAACCAAGAGTCTCAAAGAATGGATGCCTCTTTTGAGGTGCAGGCACCCCTTGGCAATATAAAATATTGTTTTTTAAGAGTGCTTTGAATTTCTTCATTAAGTGGCTGCTGCATTTTGCAGATGGTTGGATCAGCAGTGAGATCTGTGCAGCTGTGTGTGGTTGGCAGCCAGGTGTGTAATTTTTGCATTTGTGAGTTAACCATCAGCAAGGAATAGATTTTAGCAGCAATGGGAAAGGGAGGGGTTGAGTGCAAGGTTAACCTTGCTGTTCACACTTCTACACGGCCAGTGTCAAATTTTGTTTTGTATTGGAAAGCTCAATTGCCTCCCCTATGGTGCTTTCGTGCATTCATATTGTCATTTTCTTAACAGTAAAGAGTTGTTAAAATATTTCATGTTTATGAGAATGCAGAGTAATACAGTGTGTTTTGGAAGTAATTGAAATATGCAGTACATGAGTCATGAAGTGGAAAGGGACAGTGAACTTCTACAAAACTTGTTTACATTGTGTTGGGTAGTGGCAGGTTTATGTATAATCATGGAACAAGCTGAATTTCTTGAAAACATAAACAGTTTTTTACCAAAATCATTTACTTTTTAAAAAAATTACCTTTACATTCTTTATCTTTTTCTGGTTTGACACTCTGATTAGGGAAACACCTCAAAAGCACAAATTGCCTGAAGTTTTCCCATTTCTTATATAGCAGTGAGGTAAGTGCCAAAGAAGTACTATGCAGCAGTCCTCTCAAGTATTCTCTTCAAACTTACAAAAAATATAAACAAAAAGGGATGACAGAGGAAAAAACAATTACTTGTGCAAAAGTCCATGCATTGAAATGAAAGAAATTATCCACAGCAGTCACTTTGGGAAGCCATCTGTACTATATTTTATCGTCCTGAAAGTAAGGAATATACTCAAGATTGAAATTTTTAAGAAACATGCTAAAATAGAGATGGTTTAGGGAGCAATGATACATTTATTAGTTGTCTTTAGTGAATAATCCACTCCCTTTTCCCATATACTTGTTTTCCACTGATTCACATAGAAAAAGTTGAGAGATGGTTGTTAAATTCAACCTGCCCCATACATTATTACTGCAGGACTGTGTTATTTGGTGTACTAATCTCAATAATATGTATGTATGTATGTATGTATTTTCTTAAACTTCCAGAGTCATGTTTCTAAGCATTTGAAGCATAGATCCTATAGGATTACCTAAATCTGACATTTATCTGGGTAAAAGCTAACATATAAAGCGTCATAGCTAATCACATGTTTTTTACACTTTCTCTTGGAAAAGAAAGAGTTCTGGAAGTGACACACTAACAAATAGTGCATAATCTGTACACGTGAGGTAATCTTTACTGCTTTGTTACTTCTTAAAAATGCGACATGCACCAGTCACAAATGCAGCTTGTTACCTTCGTAGTTGAGAATCAACGATATTTATTGTAAGTTGCACAATAAGTAAATCATCACTGAAAGTTTGGGTTGGGGGAAATTAGCTGATTGGGATTCCAAGGCACACTGTTATTTTTTCAGTCATGTAACTTTAAAGTACAAATCAGTGACAAAACTTTGTTCTTAGTTATACCCATATGGAAAGAAAATATGTAATCATGAGATTACATGAGAGATCAAAACACCAGAAGTCCTATTTTGCACACTTTCATAAAATCTGAGATCTGGGAGGAACTTTTAAAATTCATCTATTCTATCTTGCACAACCCAAAAAAAAGATTGATTATATAATCTTTGTCTTACTCTACCTCACTGTTGTTAATAGTCAGAAGCTTTCCCTAAATACTTAACTGATGTCATTTGGACTGACAGTTCAACCTATTCTCCCTTCTAACCAAGCCTGACTCATAACCATTCTCTAACTTTCCTGTTCAAACTCCAAACACAAATATATAAAGAAATAGGTTTGCTTCTTGTACTTCATATGTCATGAAATGCCCTGTGCAAATTTTGGCTGAAAAAAATAAAACCATAAACAGAGATAATAAAAAGCAAGGTCTATTACTTCCCCTATTTCTGTGCTACGAGACTGTAGAATAATAAATGGAACATTGTGTCAGACACAATCCAGTATGTATTCTAGTCAGATATTGTTCAAGTGTGGCAAGACAATCTAGCTTCCTAAAAGAATGTTAAAATTAACCCTACCTTGCTTGTGTCCAAAGAAGCCCAATTACATGTGCTATTAGTGTATAGCTATCATAAAAATAAATGAGCCAGTCTGCATTTTCAGGTTAATCTTCAATTTCATAATTGAATCAGTAATTACTATAAGTTAATATAATTAGGTGCTAACACTTAATTGAGAATTATTTATTCAGGAATCTTCACTATTGTAACATTTTTTATAGCTCTAAATGATTCTGAGTAATGGACTGCATCAAATAAGCTTAACCAGAAACTGAATGGACATTACTTAGAATCTTGCATTCAGCTATTCTGAACTACATTTTATCACTAAGGTTTTTGTGGAAACAAAAGTAGAACCAGTGGTTTTGGCAGTCCTTCTAATTCTACCCCTGGCTGAAGTGCCACCTGAGCATTTCCAAAG